ATTGCAAATCTGGGGGGTAACTTTACCCCCCGCTTATGTATGCCTTGTGCCGGAAAGAGGGGTAAGCATTTCTGGCATCACAAGGACTGTGCATACACTAGGGCGTCCGTAGTGTAGGATGAGCACTGGTAAAAGGTATAAGGAGTAGAGTGTCTTGAGGAAATAGCCGGCTTATGGTTATGGCAAATCTGGGGGGTAAATTTACCCCCCGCTTATGTATGCCTTGAGCCGGAACGAGGGGTAAGCATCACAAGGACTGTGCATACACTAGGGCGTCCGTAGTGTAGGATAAGCACTGGTAAAAGGTATCAAGAATAGAGAGTCTTGAGGAAATAGCCGGTGTATGGTTATAGCAAGCCTGGGGGGAAAATTTACCACCCGCTTATGCATGTATTAGGTTAGAAATAGGGGTAAACAACTTGTAACGGTGAAGTACAAGTCCTATGCAGCAAGCAGCAGCCAGCAGCAGCAGCAGCAGCAGCAACGGCAGCAGCCGCCTGCAGCCAGCAGCCAGCAGCAACCGCCAACCAGCAGCCAGCCAGCAGCACCACGCAGCAGCAGCAGCAGCAGCAGCGCAGCATCAAGCCGCAGCAGCAGCAGCAGCAGCAGCAGCACCACCGGCAGCAAGCAGCAAGCAGCAAGCAGCAGCAGCAAGCAGCAAGCAGCAAGCAGCAGCAGCAGCAGCGGCGTCGTCAGCAACAGCAGCAGCAGCAGCAGCACCAAGCCGCAACAAGTAGCAAAGCAGCAGCTACAAAAGCGGCAACCAGCGGCAGCAGCAAACAGCAGCAGCAAGCAGCAGAGCGGCAGCAGCAGCACCGTTTACACCAAGCCACCGTTTACACCCAACCAACCACGTTCACACGTTCAACCAACCCCCTACACGGCGCGCAGCTGGGAGTCGAACCGTGGGGGGGGGGTTAGTGTGATATATCAAGCTTTAAGGCACACAGCTCATCCCACTACCAATTGCTAAAGCAAAGAAGAACTCAGCTAGCATGCTAGCTTTCGTGATCAAAGCTCGGGATCCACGGTCGACTCTGTGCATGGCACGATCAGTGGTGACAACCACCGCACAAACAACTAACCACCTGGCACCGCACTGCCGCAGGCTTGTTAACTTCTTCCATGTGCAAGTCTCTCCGCATTGCCCGCGACAAAGCCCTCGATCCATTCATCAGCGGGCTCAATGAATCTCTTGGGCAAGGTCCTCCCACACAAACACACACAATCGGCACACCGGATGCCAATGCGACTCTTAGGTGAGCAGGCCTGTGGGAAACTGAGGTGCAGCTGCAACAAATGACAAGGTTAAGTTGTTGATTGTGCTTTTGATATCAACAAGTGCTGTGTGGTTCACCCCACTTCCGTACAAAGTCCAAGACATGTGGATGTCAATGGGGTTATAGGGAGGACCACATCATCTGGCCCATGTTGATTTCGCCGAGCAGCAACTTCAACACCTGATCTCCCTGCAGAAAAAAAGAACAGGACATATCAACATCTTTTTGGCCCACAGGTGAATAGTCAAACAAAACTTAACCTCCCTCCGACTCCCTCCATCAACGTTCCAAACAGGCGCAGCCTGGCAACGCAAGTCAAAGTCAGCTCTGAATCCCCCATGTCCCCATGTGCTGTCTGGTGTGACACAGCACCCCTAGCGGCTGGCAGAATCACCCCTTCATGGCGCCTCTTCAGAAGCTTCATGAGGCCTCTCCTGATCTGCACGTTCACTCCCTCCTGTCGCGTGGCGCAGGTTTGGAGCGTGGAGGCTTGGAGCCTCTGGTATCCACACATCTTCTGGAAACATGAATCTTTCATGTCTTTCATGCTCACTCCTTTGACATCTCATGGATTTTTTTCATGGAAACTTTGACATGTCAAACCCCAAATCGGGTCAAACTCGTCCTGATGATAAGGGAGCCCCTGAAAGAACTGGTCAACCCCAGGCATGTCAACCTGACCCAATGGGAGTTGCCCCAAACAGCTACAGATTCTCTCGCCAGCCTCGGATCACTCCCGAGCCCGAAGGACGTGAAACACGGGCAATCAGAGATCCTCACCCGAATGGGGCCCAGGTCCATTCTCGAGGCCCGTACTGAAAAAAACAGTCCTTGCATCGGAAAAAAAACAATGCAACAACGCCCGGTATGGCAATGATTAGGGCCGGCAAAAGCTCTACCGTCCCTCAACGAACTACTATAGGACTCTCTTCCACCTGCGCACATCCACACACACCCATCATCCAACCTAAACAACAGGTCGTATAACTAGTGTGCGCACACAAGAACATGCACACCAAGGCCAAGCCTGAGTCCCATGATAGGCATATCTCAGCTCGCAGGAGACCAACTTGCATTGCCACACCAGGTCGCCGCCCCAGGCGGCACCATACCTGCGAGAGAGTGTTTGCGAAAGGGTTTGTGTTTAACTGTTTGAGTGCTCTTAAAGACCCGCAAAACCGGCAAATCAACAACTGCTTTCAAGGTTGGGAATGCAACAAGGAAAAACTGACTTCAGAACAGGTCAATGTCAAAAGCTGGAAGGAATTATACAAGCGATCAAATTTATACGTGCAAGCCATGCGCTCACTGATAAGAGGAGGCCTTGGTATGCGGAAAGTTCTCACCTATTCGGTATTCTTTTACCATCCACTATTACAGAATGTTTCGTGGAACATCTTCATTTGCTACCCTGCTGAAAGGCTGTGGCTGTTTCTCAAAGAACTTGGCACAATGGACTGTCTGGATTCACCTCGTTGTTATATGTGTTTTGTCCGAAGATCTGTCGAATCCATGTCTAGTGAAGTGCTCAGGTGAATATCTTGAGCAGTGGAAGTGTCTGACAATAGGAGACTCGCCAAAGTCTACGGAAATCCCATTCCTGTGAGAGAGATGCATATCAAATAATACTTGGCCGCAATGCTGTTAGCTACCTCCTTTTCCTTCTGTGACTCCTGTCATCCTGTCTGCGTCGTTGGTCCAATCGCCTCCTCCATTGGACATTGAAAACGACCAGCCCAACGACGAGTGCGATCACACAAATCCTCGGCTGTTGGCATCGTAGCGGAGACCGATGCTAACCCAAAACAACAACAACAACAACAACAACAACAACAACAACCAACAACCAACAACCAACAACCAACAACCAACAACCAACAACAAACAACAAACAACAAACAACAACCAACAACCAACAAGCAACAAGCAACAAGCAACAACAACAACAACAACAACAACCACAACAACCACAACAACCACAACCACCACAACCACCACAACCACAACCACAATCACAACAGCCTGTGGTCCGATGGTCCTCAACTATGCCCATTCAAAACAAAAATAACACGACGCCTATCTTCGTCTCCAACTGAACTCCCAACACAGTCACTCCATTCCTCTCTGCCCCAGCTCCAAGACTCACTTGCCCTGCCATCGTCAAAAAGACGCTGGGCGAACATCCGCGGTTCGGCACGGGGCGCCGCTGCGCCAGCTGCTTCACCGTCTTCCGGCGCTCCTGGAGCGGAAAAACGGTAGACCGGAACAAGGGAACAAGGGGGTCCGGTCAGAAGAACACCAAAATCAGTCAGACTTGTTTCGGATTCAGTCAGACACAGACTTTGTTCCGCTGGAGTCGTTGTTTTCGTTCGGATTCAGTCGGACTTGTTTCTGTGGGTTTCGGGTCGGTTGGACTTGATTTGGCGTTCGAACATGCATCGTTGGCTGGCTTGCTGTCAATATTAAGACATTGAAACGCTTGAACGTATACTGTTATGTTAAATTATAGGAAACCATATCCAAAACGATTCGAAACCAATTCACCAATCATGGGTGAAAGCGAATTCTGATCTTTTCACCTTGCTATGCCGGAATAAAGAATTGAGCCTGGCTGTTCAAGCTTGCCTTCAAGTAGTCCAACGAACTGTCTCCTCCAAAACCCCTTGGAACAAACGATGTACCGCCAAATATATGAGTAAAGTTTCTGCTAGGCTTCATTCGCCATCCAAAATTAAAATCTTAAGTTTTGGATAATTCAACCAAACTTGCCAGACTTCCGACTGGCTTTCATCTCAGCTATTCTCAGCTCCTCATCAAAGTCGATCTCCTCCATCCGCAAGCGCGCGCAAAGCGAGGCGCGCCGCCAGCTGCGATGAAGCGAGGAGGGCCACAAAGGAGAGTTCACCAGTGGTCAGGGTTCCCAAAAACGAACCCGAAAAAGGATCTGAGTAGAGTAGAGTGTCTGGTCGAGCCTGGTGGGGTTCATCTGTATGAGTGTTGGTCTGACAAATGCAAGGGTGTGAAGACTTGAAGAGACTTTGGCAAAGCGTGTAGCCTTTTGCTCAAGGTTACCAATTGCTCTGGAAGGTGTCTGGCACAAAGGTCGTTTCACTAATCAAGCACCTGCTGAACGAGTTCTTGCGGCAGTTTTGCTCATGGTGGGTTCCATGAAATTTGTCAAGTAAGTATAGAATATGGAGCAATCATGAGCAATCCAAGAACCGTGAAACAACAGTAACAGTGGTCATATAGTTTGGTGAGTCTTCCCAAGTCTATCTTAATTTATCGCATGACCCCTTTGAGGTTCATGGATAGAGTTTGAAGTTAATTGAATTCCCATGGGTGCATCTCATCCATCTCATCCTGGGGTGTGGGAGGTTGATCTGCTCCTACAGCACTGCCACGGCCAACTGCCGGCGCGCGAGGCGCACAGCTTGGGCCAAATGTGAGAGGAGCGTGTCTCAAAGTGCAGAGCTCACCCAACCAATCAAGTTGGGAGACTGACCTCCCACTCTATTCAAGCAAAACAACCCAAAACCCAAAACCCTAAAAAACATAACTTTACGAACTACTTGGCTTGTTCAATGCTTCTTCTAATTCAATCCAACGAACTCTGTGAACAGAAACAATCCTTGGAAACTGTAATTCCAACAAGCCCAAACCTTAGCCTATACCTTTCAGTCACCACCGAGCAAAGCGCTCCAGCAGAAAGCTCCTGGCCTGGCTTGCTCCTGTTGTTGTCCCAAGACCTGGAGCATTCGACCCAGTTGGGCCCAGCGTAATTTACCCAAACCCAAATGCCAAAAAAGCAATTGCCAAATGGAATGCCAAATTGCCAAACAGTTGCTTGCTTGTCAGCTTTGCTTGCCCAATTGTACCCATGAAATGAGCAAAGCTGAACTAATTGCCAATTCATCGAAGAACCTTGGCTTCGGCATGCTTGGGTCACAGTTGCCAATGATGGCCAAAGCTTCTTGCTTGATGTCCGTGTTCTTCCTGACTCTGTGAAGGTTTGGGGATGTCTTGTTCTATCAAAGGCTTAACTGTTCATCCCCCATGCAGAGATGTCACCCGTTGGTCTCAACCACCCAACCTGGGGGGCTCAGGGGATAATCATGAGAGGTTCCGGTCTATGTCGAACATGTGACACCAGTAGCCCAGTCGTAGACAGTGGTGGCAACCCCAAAAAAGATCCTTCGAGCAAGAGCAAAACATGATCGGCCTTGAGAATAGGTGCTAGCCAGCCAGCCTGTTTCAACTCCAAACACCCTCCGAAACATCCAAAACATGACTCCTCCAAAAAAAGCCTCCCTATTCTAAGTCAATTGTCCCTGGCTCCGGCATGTGCTTTTTTCCGCGTCCCAAAACCCCCTGCCTTCCCAACGACAAACACCCCGCCCGATTTTGGTGTCGATCGAACTCGAGGTGCCGCACGTGCTCCCACAGCGCTTGGAGCCGATCCTCGAGGCCCAGATCCGGCCACCTTGGTGGTGGTGTGGTGGAAGGCTGATACATCAGATGTTCCTCGGTCGTTTGGCTGGACATGTCACATGGATGTTTACCTCATGATTCTGATGTCCTGAGACACCTCAAGTCTTCGCATCCTTGGGGGTCCTGGGATGAACAGGATTGAAAAGGGCGGTGGACTGGGCGGAGGGAGGTTGGGAGGTGCTGGCGGACACGGGGGGGAGGACCCTGGATGGAGGTGGCTGACGGATGTCCAAAGGTTCAGTTGTGGCAGTGGATTCCACAAAAAAGGGTTCTCCTTGGAGTGAAGGAACATGAAGTTCTTCACGTAAATATCTTGTGACTAAAGTGAGGTTGTGTTTAAGCACCCTATATGTATCAGAATCGAACTAGTTGTGCTAGCTGCAGGTTTTCCCCGCAAGGAGTTAAGACATGAACTGGCAGGCGGGCAAAGGATGATAGCAACCCAACGTCAGTTGGAGATTGGTGATCACGCTTTTTGTCCCTCCTCTGTTGAGAGGGTTCTTTCGTGAGACCCACTCAACTTGCATGATCCAGCCACAATTTGAGAAGGTAGCTTATTATGGTCGCTTATAGCTGGTCTTTAAACCCATTTCATCCCACTTCAACTATCCCCAGCTCCCACCTTCCCCAGAGAGATGACCCCGTGGATCCACAGGGCTCTTATAGAGATAAGAAGAGGGGGGGATCGGCCGCCAACGAAAGGCCTCGTCAAACCCCGAGGCCTTGACCTAAAAGGCAACCGCGTAAACAAACCAGCCCAAAGGAGAGGCAACCGGATGCTGGAAGCAATGACGGATTTCCCGGGCTCGGTTGGAGAGGAAAACCATGGGAAAACGGGACCTTGGGAGTGGTTTGTCGAATGATTCTAACCCTGGCTTCTCTCAAGTGAACCGTGGTGTATGCCAAAGTAATCAGAAGATTCTTGGAGGTCCTACCTTCTGCTTTTCCTTCCTCAACCTCGCGGTTCTCACAAATCAGTATAGTCGTTGCTTTTAGATGTTCTTAATTTTAAGGGGGTGAAGGCTCTACCAGTGGTCGATGAGTACCAAATGCGTGGCTGCAAAAAGCAAGGCACCCCTTTTCGCATCTGCCTCTGCAATGTGGTTGATACACCTTGCAGCACAGCTAGTTGTTCGGCTTAGGAAGCTCTCCAAACAGGGTCACCTGGACAGCATGAAGTGCATGATGCAGGTGAACGGGGGACGCATGTTCCCTCTCCACGGCAGTTTCCTTGTTGTCAATGAAATCCAGGGAGGCTTTCTCAAGAGCTCCCCCAAAGCCCTACATCTTTGACAACCTGGGCTCATATAGAGTGGCCATCAAGTTTTGGCGATCCGGACCAGCCGCTTCCTTCTATTTCAGCATGTTTCAGCCTTCATAGCTCCGAAGTGGCACTCACTTGCAACGAAGGTCTTTGCAAATTACCTAAACTAATGTGGTTCAATGCATTTCGTTCTAAGAGATGGCTCGCAATTTCTCAGCTGCCCCGGTTCTCTCAAGGGCCACGGTCCATTGGCGCAGCAAGACCTTGCCCATTTTTCAACAACGGCCTGCCGACTGAAACGGATGAAAACCCGCCGCCAAGCAGTTGACTGGCACCCGTTCGTGAGCTCAAAGACCTGATTTAGACCCAACCGTGCACTACCGGAACAAACCAAGCCTGAACAAGACTTGCATCGAGCGTCTCTGTGCATTTGGCACGAAGAACATGCGTGATTCCAAGTGTGTGTTTTCTGACTTGATAATTGTTTGCAAAGGATTGAGGCTGTTTACACGTGGGTTTAAAGTTTAAAGTGTTACACATTTGAACAAAATAACAAAGCACAAGTTAAAAACCCGGACACAAACCGTCTAAGCCTACAAAGGCCCAACAAGCCAAGCCAGGCAATCTATAGAAACCTGTGTTATGTTTGAGAATTGTTTTCCCTTCTGCCACAGGGAACAAGGCCCGAAGGGAGTTCAACACCTTCTTGGAAATGGCTGACTGCCACCCCTTGTGGAAAAAAGTGAAACATGTGCTAATTAACCATTCTGAACCAAGCATAGCAAGCCCTTGCTTAGCCAACAAACTTGGGATGTTGTTGGTGGTTTTCTTGGGGTTCTTAGAGTTACTGGGTTTCTGGGATGTGGGCACATATACAGTATTTATACTGAGGCCTTGCCCTGGATCTTCTTCTGTGTCTTCAGGTGCATCTCCCAGTCCACATGGCGGTCATTTACCACAATTCCGCAAAAAGCCATTGGGATGGGCGCGGGGCTGTTCTTTGATCCACAGCAACAAAAAAGCAAACAGGATCATTGAAATCTAGATCACGTGCAACAACACCAGTCACTCTGTTGGAATCACATCCTGGCCCACTCCGATCTCAAGGCATCTCCCTAAAAAGGGATGTGGCAAAACCTCCAAGATTTGCAAAGATTTTCACAACCTTTGGAAAACCTACAGTACATTTAGATTTCAGACTAGATTCGAGTTTTCACTTTAAGTACGGTCTCGCTTACGAATACTTTCCTGGAGGTGCTCAAATCCGCACGTCCGAGGACGTCAAATCCGCCGTAAGCGCTTGAGGCGTTCGCTCAGAAGAGCGCTCAGCATTTCGATTCGGCCGTGCTGGGCACGCTGGCCTTTGTGCCTGCGGCCCGGTGCAGGCCAGTGAGGAGGGACATGGGTGGCAGTCACTTGTCCGTCACAAAGGTGGAGTTTCAGAGACTCCGAAGTACGTTCAGAAGGAAGATCACTCCTTTGACTCTTTGTTGAAAGGGTCACCACATTTTGCCCTGCCGCTCGCTAAAATGGATGTCCACGCAATTTCTGGCGGGCATCAGAGATATGCTGATAGCGGAAGCTGTTGTGAAAAGGTCTTGAGAGTAACCTAGATGTTCAAATGATTCAGCATAGTTGAAGGAACCCATGAGTACATGGTGCGCCCCATAAACTGGACAATCACATTTCCAGCAGGTGGAGGAAGTGCACCGGCAGTTGGCCGCGAGAAATCGAATGCAGGGCACCAGTGACCAAAAAGCAAGTTGAAAGATTTTAAAACCCAGGTCGTGCTCTTTCTGCGGTGTCAGTTATAGCCGGATTCTCTCCCAAAACTCCGGGGCCCTAGGCCCTAATCCCACCACGCCCAAAACCACCAAACCACCAGTGATGCGGAAGATCCCAAGCCGCCTCGATAAGAAGTCTTCAAGCCGCTGGGACAGCTGTTGGGGAGATATCCTCACCTGAGGCGTGGCTGAGGTCGGCCGGACTGTTCGGCGCAACAGGGTGCGGCTTGGTGCGGTGCAACAGGGTGCCGATTCATGACCACAACGAGCAAAACAGAGATCGAGTCACAACAGTTGTCCCCCGGTATATCCCATTCCCAGTAATAGTGGGTGGAGGTTGCAGAATAGTGAACACATATAGTTGACCAACTGTTACTGGTTTACTGGGACACACCCTAGTCACAGCTGTGTGGGAGGCAAAACAAAAAATGAAGAAACTAAGAGAAAGGCACCCCAAACACCAACAACTGACCCGTGCGGCGAATCAGAATCGATGGTGCCTAGATCCCATGATATCCCATGGCTTTCTACCAGTGAGGTCATTCCAAATTCAATCCCTTACCATTTGATCCCCCCGCCAAAAAAAAACAACGCAGTTTCTATGAATAGCAGTTTCTTTATAGAGGTTATATAAAGGGCTTATAACTCTAACCCAATACCCCGTCTATGAAAGTCCGCCAGGACTAGTTTGGGCGCTGGTTTCTTTGTAGTTCCAGCTGAAACCATGGCTCCACTACCATACTGACAAAGCGCATTGCATTAGGGGCCTGAAAAGGCCACTACTAGTCCAAATGGCCAAAAACAAGAGCGAACCCACTCCACCACCTGCATGGTAGACATCACTGCTCATATTGTCACCGTGGTTTGCAAAGCAACACAGTTGCCAGAACCGATTGGCCAAAATCGGGCCAACGAATTACTTGAGCCAAGCTATATATATTTATATCGTTTGCACAAAAAACAAAATAGACTGTAAGACTACACACAGGCTTGCGTTCAAAAAATTGGGGGCGCCCTTGTTCATAGGCCTACACTGCAAGCCCACACCCCTCAACAAAATCTTTGCCAACGGAGTGCAACGCAGTGAGTTGCACAACCCAGCAGGTTTGGTTGTACTTTTGAAAGAAACGTGTGTCTAGAACAGCAACTCTGAAGATGTCCACGGCATTTCCCCTTTGGAAGCCTATCCAAGGCCACCTCTCCAAAAGAAAATGCCGCTTTGAAACTCGCACCAATACACATCAGCTCTGTGTAACGTGGAGAGCTTGTCACTCTGAAAAAGTTGAACCCTAAACCGCAAACTATCGAGCGAACGTGCGGATCTCTATCCAAAATTGTTTTCTGACCTTGCGTGTGCCATGTCTCGGGGCGATGTCGCCTGAGCCACTTCCACTTTAAGTGGGAACACACTTGACCCACCCTTTGCGTTTACATTTCGGTGTCCACCTTAGGTGGAAACACGCTGCACTCACCACTGTGTTTATGTCCATTGGCCTTTTTGAACAATGGCATCAAAATGGGAAACTGTAAAAGGTATATACAACGGTTCCACCAACAATGTTTTGGTTGAATTGCGTAGGCCAAAGAAAGGTGAGATACCATGCTAGGCAACTGTCAACGCTTTAGAACTCAGAAGCTGGAAGCAACTGCCACTCACTGAAGCGGCCCCTTGCAATCGAGAAAAGATTGGCGAAGAGACCTGAGAAACCAACACTTAAAATCAACAGCAAATCTGCTGGGGTGAGTGGCCCCCAAAACAATGAAAGAGAAGGATGGAAACAAAAACCGCGTGGAATGAAGCGACAGCAACAAACCTTTTCTTCACAAAGCTAGCTCTCCAAGCAAGCGGAAGGCTCCGAGTGGAAAAAACCCTAAGGCAGGCAACCACTGACAAAAAGCACCTGGTGTGCCAGGCTGCCTAAAGATGCACACTCCCCTCCGCAGCCTTGGAAGTAGGCATTGCTTCACATCTCAACCCGCTCTACCAAACAACTGTGCTGAAAATGAGCACCCCAGTCTTAGACTGAGACTTGGATTGCTTGCGTCAAATCGGAAACCAGGGCCTTCTCGTGAGCCACCTTCTTCTTCTCTGCTTCCGGGAGGCTTGCTCCCTCATTCAACTCACGCGCTAGGTCATCTGCCTTCTTTTTGAGGGCGACCAAGCTGTTGTCGTGCGAGCTCGACTTGCAAAGGACAGGCACGCGAATGCCAATTGTGTTTTGCTGCACACGCTCTGCAACCAAGAAGACATAGGGAGCGAAGAGGCAATCACCTTGCCCCACAGTGCATGTCCACAAGGTGCACTCCTTCTGGAACTCTTGCAGCACGGAAACGCTCATCGACCTGAAGAAAGCAGACATCTTGCCCACATTTGCAGCGGTGACCCCCTTCCGCTGCATAAAGCCATGCAGCTGCAACATTTCGGTCATCATGACAACCCGCGTCCCTTCAAGGGTGATGCGGCATGTTGCAGTTCCGAGGAACTCTGAAGAGGCTTTGTCATAGCCTACATCAATCCCAAACATCCCCAAAACCAAAGTCGATTTCAAGGCATCACTCCAATTTTCGGCTGGCACCATGACATTGGAATCCTTGAAAAGGCTGGCAATGTAGCTAGTCACTTCCTTCATATTCTCATCTTCAGCAAAGGCCTTGGAAATCCGCGTGCCTTTACTCTTGGCACGGGCCGCGTCAAAGCCATCTTTGAAGCCGTCAACCTCCTTTCTTGAAGACTTCCCATCACCCATAAAGTCTGACACCCAAGTGGCAGCACTCACACAAAAGGGCTTGGACACCTCCAATGTCACACCAGGACCAGGAGCCACACGCGGAATGGCCTTGGCTGCAGCAGCGCCTTGGTCAAACAAAGGATTGGTAGCATTGTTTGCTTCATCGGCCTTCTTGGCCTTTGACGCAGCAGCTTGCTGCTTGGCCTCCCGTTTGGCCAACTGATCAACTGCACTCTTCACAGATTTCTGCGCCCTGGTAGTCGCTGCTAGGAGCTGCGCCAACGGGGAACGAATGGCTGCAATCTCGGCTGTCACCTCCTGGCATCGGACATCATCATCATAACTTTCAAAAAGGGCTTTCTTCCATCAAAAACACGTAGACAAGCTATGGAGTCCCCACATACAGTACACATTCATTTTGACATCTTAACTTACTCTACTTTTCTAAATACACTGCTGCGCAACGACCACACTTGTCCTTCATGTGTGAAGGCTGTGTGCAATGCTTGTATCGCTCCACTGATTCCTCCAGTACTCTGAAAGGCTTGAGCTTCTCATATGCTTCGCACGGGGGCGCCTTTCCTAGCTCCACTGGGTTTGCGCCCACTGCGGCATCAAGCACTTCCTCCGAAGCGGTCACTCCAGCAAAGCGCGCTATGTAAGCTTTGACTTCGTCTTCATCATTCTTTTCCTTGCGTGAATTCAACCGACAAAAGCGGGCAAGGTTGAATTGAAAAGCAAAAGACATTGCAATGGGTTACTCGAAAACTTTTTCATTTCACGCCAACCTTGAACCTTGTCTTGCGTTGGTTGCTAGGCCTGCTACCAAGGGGGAAACAAAAGGACAAAAGTGATTGCATCATAAAACAACTCAGGCTCAATCACCAACGAAAGCGCTTCAACTCGGTTCTCCAGGAGCTTGATCTCACCAGCAAAGGTTTTCTGGAAGTCAGCGTCCTTGGACTGCTGGTACCCCTCTAACTTCTCCTTGCACTCAGAAAGACCCTGTTGACACTTCAGCTTGAACACTTTGATTTGCGCATCGCATGACCTCATGGTAGATGAAACCACCCTGTCCCGATCCACCCAGGGCTTCACTTTCTCAGGCGAGGTCTCACTTTCAGACTTCCCATTCCCATCCACACCATTCTCTTCATCTGGATTCTGGTCCTTGACCTTTTCTGCAATCTGAGCAAGCTCCATCACGTCCACAAGGAACCCATCTTGGCCTTGGAAGGCAGCCTCTCCATTGCGCACGATGGCCTGGCAAATCTGGATCTGGTCAGCGATGGGATCATGCTTGGAAGTCACCTTTTTCTTAAGGCGGTCAACATCTTCTTGGCTGCCATTCTTCTTGGATTCCCCGTCCATGGTGACAGCTTTCTCCTGCAAATAGCTAGTTCTGAACCTGACCTCGTCCCCGGTATGAATCCAAAACCTCAAAGAACCATTCTCTCCCATATGATCAAAGAAAAGGTCCTTGTCACCAGCTTCGAGCCTTGACTCCCACTCAGCCCATTGAGCAGCAGCTTGGTCATCTGTCTTCCTTCCCCCTCTGATGGTTTGAGCAAATTCGAGGTACAATTTCTTCCCCATCATCTCCCCAACCTTGTCCTTGACAAAGCCGCTTGCAGCCACAATGCGCTCTTGGTACTTGACAATGCTCCAAGAACCTCTCTTCTTGTTTTTGGCCGCGCCTGGCTCACACTCGGGGCAAACCTCAAAGTAGGACTGCACCATTGCAAAGCATTTGTCAGGGTCTTCACGCTGCTCCCTGACAAACTTCACTGCTTGCTCACCCTGTCTTGAAGCTAGCTTCGTGATGTTGTCTAGTGCCCTTTTGCAAGGGACGCAGCCTGGGAAATTGGTCGCTTGCTGCTCAGCACTGATCTTTTTCTTGCAACCTTTGCAAGACTGAACACCGTGCTTGGCCCGCTTTTTTGGTTGAGGCTTGGCTTGAAGCGCCTGCTTGTCAGTACCCTCCGCCTCATCAGCACAGCGCTTTTTGGGTCTGCCTCTTTTGGTACCCGTTGGTTTCGAATCGGGCTCGGCACATGCGGCCCTTATCTCCTCATCGATTGAATCAGGAACCTGGGAGCTGAGATCAACATCCATTCCGGCCACTGGCCAAAACAAGGCTCAGGAGTCGGCAACTTCTGGTTTGAGCACTGCGCTGTTGTAGGAAGCGCACATGTCTTCTTGACTTCGGCGAAACAAAAAAGAAACAAGCTTGGAAACAATCAGCCTCAAGGAGAATCGTAAGTCCATTCCAAACTGAACTGTGGAAACATCTGAGGACAGCGCACTGTCTTCTCCAAGAGCTTCTGCCTGCAAACACACGACATCTCCACATGGTTTGACTCTTCTATTGAAAGGCTTGGGCGCGAAGCAAGGATTGTCACAGGCATCTGGAGCAATGCGGACATGTAAACTGCTCAGGTGGAAGAAGTAAACGACCAACTATTTGTTACCAAACACGGGATACTGAGGAAGCAGGTTTGGGGCCTGGCTTCAAAGCTTTGCTTGAACGCTCTTTCTTTTCTTGCCTCACCCCATCGGCATCACTGAGAATCTGCGCCACACAGCCAGCCAGTCAAAATCACACGGTGGTAAAACAAAAATGGTACCTAACCATTCAGAAAACACACAACCTGTTGGCAAAACACACTTCTTCCAACGTCCGCACTAGCTGGCGCAAGTTAGCTATGGCTATGACAGTCACCGTGGCTTTGTCATGGCCAAACAATAAGCCAAAAAGCTGCCGACAACTCGACAGTGCATTTGGTTTCCTGTCATCTTCACAATCTCTGAGCTGCGGAACTTTGACAAGTACTCGAGGGTCCAAGGCGAATCGATGGGATTCTCCGCCAGCCCTGAAATTGGCCAACCCATTGCCACCATCATCTCAAGAGGAAGCATCATCCTGCCGTGCCATTGGGACCAAATGCATGACTGACATAAGAAGGAAGGAAGGTTGGTACTCAGCCGCTGCCTCACACACACATTTTGGGACAGGTCAACCACGCCAACCATCTTCCTTGTCAGTATGTCCGGGCTGCCCAGCAACCTCTGGTAGTCCTCGAGGCGGAGCTTGGACCCTACATCAAGGGCAATGTCCATGGGGAGAACGGCACCAGGATCACATAGAACACCTTTCACTTTCAGCAGCTTTGCACGCAAGTGGTCTTGGATCATCCACTGAGGCGCGATGAAGAAAGAATGGCCATCAAGACATGGTGAGGAGGAGCAGCATTGCAAGAAGTTCTCTCTGTTGATTGGCTTCTCCAACTCCACAGTCTCGGTGTTGATGGTCCACGAGTAGTTGCGCCACCGAATCATTGGCACTCCCACATCTTCACATTTGAGCTTGACCACATGCGTCCTGAACTCCGGTGGTGGGAATGCGCATCTGAAGGCCTCCTCTGTGTTGAAGAAGGAGGAGCATTCCTGCAACACAAAGTCCACAGCCCGGTGCCTTGTGCGGGCAAGCCACATTGCAGCGACAACTCCTGAACGGTGGAGCCATCGCCCATGGCACCCCTGCGGGCTAAAGGCCACACAGGTGTTGCCACCTGCTTCAAGCACTTTGTCGCCTTCTTGAATTTCGGGAAAGAATGGGCACATGGTACAGTGTTTGTAACAGTATCCGTGCGCGTGGACCTTGTTGCTCTTACAAGCCTCTGCTGCCACATGAATCAACTTCTCCATGCAGCGTCGGTTGGCTTGCTCAAGCGCTACCTTCAAGGCCTTGCCGGAAACACCCTGGTCTTTAAGCTCTCCTGCCCTCTTTGCCATGACCCAACATACCCACTCCATTCGCTCAACCACACTTGCATCAAACTGCGCGCAAAGGTCACCAAAGATGTGGTTGGGGCAATGCTTGGAATGAAGGAGCAATTCTCGGGCTGCTGAGTCAATCTCGTGCGCTGAGTGGAAGCAAGGTGAAGGGCAATGAAAAGTCTTCGCCAACCTCTCGATGCAATGCTCCACTGTTCCCAAGCCTGTGTAGTGGGTTGTCACAAAGAGCTTGGGGCCCACCGGGATGGCTTGCATGTCAAACCAATCTCTCAGGTTTGACTCGGCTTCAAGCTCATGACAGGCGTCAACCATAGTATCGGCTACCTGGCTTGGCCAAGCCAACAGCTCCTGCATGTGACATGGCTCATCATCGAAAGCCTCCGTACCCATCCGCTCGAATCGAGCGCGCTTAGCTTGAGGTTCTTCTAGGGAACCACCATCAGCGGGCACGCTTGCTTCTGCCATGCCTGCAAGAGCACCTGGCTACCTAGAAAAAACCTTCACTTCAAAAGGCCCTTCTCCAAACCAATGGCTTCGTGGCCGACAAACTCTTCACAAACTCAAGGTGGGACGACGGAAGGTTCCAGCAAGAGAGGCCATAGATAGATGATCGCGCAAGAAGTTGAGAAGTGGCAGTGCAGAAGTACAATCGGAAGCACATGTCAAAAGTTCAAGAACGATCTCAGTTTCTCGACAAAAACATGGAACCAACTCACACCACGGAAAGCTCATCGAAACACACAGCTGTCAAGCGCACAAAGCTTCAAAAGTTGCTGAGCAAAATCGAAAAGTGAGAAAAAGAAGCGAATCTGTGCAACTCGGCCTGTTAAAAAATATCTATATAAACAATATATACAAAACGATAGTTTTAAACAAAGTAGTCATGGGAGTGCCCAAAACTTATGTTTTAGACCAACAAACGTGTCGCGCACGTGTCGCTCATGTGTCGCTCGGTGTCGCTCGCAGGTGCCTGAGGTGTCCGCATGTGTCGCTCAAGTGTCGCTCTGTGTCGCGGGCGTTCATAAAAATTCAGAAAATGCACAAAATTACGGTCTATCCACCAAAAATGGATGCGACACCGTAAAGAATTTGATTGTTATTTTTTGCACTGAAACTCTCACAATTCTGCAAGCTTTGCGTTGAGAACCTGGCCTCCTCCCAGAACGGTAGACCGTTGAAGTGATTGGTCTAATGTGAACCTGCGCCAGCCATCGGAAGGAGATGGCATTGAACATATGTGTTTCATTTCAACTGTCAGGCTGCCCTGCTTGGAACGCGCCCTTACAAATATGGGGTTCTCTGTTGAAACTCCATTGGGGAAAGCCTTTGCAGCAACAACTCTTGTAAAAGTCTGACACGCCTGGGGCACGTAGCCACAAATCTCCAAAGCCAGACCTGCCAGGCGCACGCTAGACTTCATAGACCCCCGGCCGCGCATGCTCTTTGTGAGTTTGGCAAGCTTCGCGAATGTGTCTGGAACCCTTCCCCCAAAACTTGAGGCCAATGACAAAGAAAGGATGATGTTCTTTTGGTTGGAGTCTGCTTGATCAAAAGGTTTCAGGCCTCCCATACATTGAGCAGCCACAAGGCCAGATCGATTGCCAAACCAGAGCCTGGAAGGGAAAACGCGCAATAAACTTTCGATACAACTGACATTCAAAAAGCCTCCCAAGTACATCAGGATTCGTTTCCTGAGTCCCTGTTTTTTTAAAAAAATGTGGACTCAGGATGCATATATGTTTAGCAATGTGAACCCGGTCATGCTCACTTCAGTCTCTGTGCATGTTTGAGTAAAATGTGATTGCAGGTTCCCTACCATAAGAGCCACGACATCATCACCAATAAGTGCACATGTTTCTGCAACAAATATAGGGGCCCTTTCTTGTCCCTCACTGCAAACAAATGTCTTGCCTGCCATCAATCAGAGCCCGAAGAGGTTGCGGAATTCGAAGCCTTGCCAGACCCTGAGGAAGAAGGTGATGAAGATGTTGACGAACTGTCGGACTGGCCCGAACCCTCAGGTTCAGGCGCGGGTTTTGCCTTTGCTGTGTTTGGCTTGGAACAACTAGCTTTGGCTTTTCCCTTAGGCTTTGGCTTTGCTTTGCTCGATTTGGCTTTAGGCTGCTTGCTACCTTTCTTCGAATCTTTCTTGTCAAGACCCTTCGAAAGCTTTTTCAACGGCTTAGCACTGCTAGCTACCTCTGCATCTAGTTCCTCATCAGTCTTAATTAGGGCTGGAGGGTTTTCTGTCAACTCCTGAGCTAAGACAATGGACTCTGGTGGACAATCACCTGGGGACAATGGCATGCGAATGTGGCTTCTCTGGCGGTCGAACTTGCACGCTTGGTTGCACCAATGCTTCAAAAGAAGAATGCATTGATTTCGGGCCTCAGGAGTGCTATCTGTAAACCTCACAAAGCGCTTGCAACCAGTTACCAAACTCTTCTTGTGCCACCTACACGTAACCTCAATGCCTCCACAGGGTGGGGCAGATCGCGCCTGCTTCACTGAAAATGAAAAGGACCCATACTTCGCAACACCTCCTACAAACAAAGCTGACTCTAGTGCAGCAGTCTTGCTAGACACAGCCTTGGCAGCTGATTCGGGAAAGGAACTTGAAGAAGGAACTGGCTTTGTTGCCTCACCACTCTCCCTGTTCACAGCAACTTCGAAGGCCTTCTCCTCATGGACACCTGCTTCGTCAGGAGCAAGTGGAGTGGTTGTTTGACTCCTGTCAACTTGAGTGCTGTCCATTAACCTCCTACTGGAAAACCTTGGAACATCTTCGGCTTCAAGCACCACATCTGCATCAAACAAACCACTATCAACATTACTTCCTATTCCTAGTTTTCTTTTTGCTTGCGAAGTCTTGCGAAGAGCATCTTTCGGAACAGTGCCAGCAAAAACCATTTCATAAGCTTCACCAGGCATTCCATGAGGGATCTCTTGGATCCCATGGGCATTGGCAAGCCTGTCAGCATCTAACAGACACATCATATAGAACCTGGAAACAGTCACCCCTGAAGTATACCAGGTTTGTTCCTCACCAATCTTGTAGACCCGCTCTTTCTGCTGCTTTACTGGCATGAGGGACCATTCCCAACCCTTGGACCGCATCTGAACGAAAAGTTGCAAATCGGACAAGTCAGCTAAGGCACCAATACCCACTTTACAAAGACACAGTGGTGATTCTAAGCTGCGAAGAAATTCCATGCGCTGGATGGCTGAAGCCGTGAGCAAGTAACCACCATCTGACATCTCCTGAGCAAAGCGGTAAGAAACCAAAGTCTGCATGGAAGGGATGTGCGCAGGAGAAGGCACGAAGCTTTGGCTGGCCTTGGGCAAGGCACCGTGCTGGATCATGTGACTGAGCAATTTGGAAACATCACCACCCATCAACGGCAACACATATTGGACGCTCCCACACTTAGACCACTGCTTAAGACATTGGAAGAACTTGTCTATGCCAAGTGACTGGACAACTGACAGCATTGACAAAGTCTCTGCTTTCCCAAGACAAATTGCAGAAACAACTGGTCTTGCGGGAGTGCCCCTGTTCTCACACACGGTTGTGACAAGATCATTCCTGTCGAAATCTTTCATAGTGCATGGTGCATGGGCCGGACGCTTGATAAGCGAAGGTTGCAACAACACTGGGGTAAACAACTTCAAGCGCTGGTCGCTTGGTGCCTCAATTGAAAACACACTGCCTGGGTCACGCCAAGCAATGTCACGAAGACAATCAGTGGCCAAATTGGCAACAATCAGTTCTTGTGTCACCTCTTTTCTTTTTGGTTTCAACTTGTCTTGCGCAAGCCCTACTTTCTTGGATTCTTGGTTGTGGATACTTTCAGCTTCTTGATTTGTAGCAAACTGCATTCTGGAATCCCGGTAGAGCGCCTGCCTGGCAAAGGCGAAAAATGCATGCTTGTCTTTGCTGCGGCCTATCTTGATCAAATCTGGGTGATTCCTATGGCAGGGAAACATCTCGGCAAACTTTGCAAGCTGGCGGGCTTCCGAAAACGCTTCAACAAGCATTGGAAAGGCATGGGGATCCATAGCAAGATGCTTGTTCAGCTCAGGCATTCTCATGTTGAGCGACAACCAAGTCACGCTAAAGTTCTTTGGCCTTGTCTGTCCTAGGTCCTTATGGGCTGCCTCGATCAAACGCTCAGCCACCTGTACAAAAGTAAAGGGGGCCAAGAATGCCTCTAAGGCAGGAAAGTCTTCCAGCACTTGGTCGGATGATGAAATGAAACTGGCAAGCTCTTGTGTCAAAGTTTCTTGTTCGCCATCAAAAAGATTCCTAGCAATTGGATGCTGAGCTTCGCGCGCATTGGATGGCAAATCATCCCACAACTGCTTAGCTTTGGCCAAGGCCTTGCGAGCCACATCTGGCATTGGGTGACACCCCCCAAACACGATCCACGGCAAGTGCGAAAAGAAACTCAGCCTAGCTTTCACTTCTTCAAGAACAACTTTCGAACCATGTTGCCATTCTGCAAGCAAACTTGACCATTGCTCTGAAGTCAGCCGCTCCTGACAATTACTCATGAACTCTTGGCAAGTTGAATCAAGTTTCCGCTCAAAATCTGAGAAGTTATCAGCAGCAAGAAATGGAGCCTGACATCCTGCCATGGGACATCGACAAGGAATTCCTGCTGGGCAAACGATCTCAGCTTTCAAGACATGTTCGAAGCTGACTTCACTTTCATGTTCATTCATGAAGCTTTCAACCAAACTACCCCCATGACAACTGCACCCCTCTGCCCACGATGTGAAGTGGAGCAATTGCTTGCGAATGGCCAGCTGCATGCGCCAAAAAGCCAGGAAGTAGCTGTCTTGGACGATGATTGTGAGCTCTTTGGGGGACCACCCATCTTTCATGCAAGCGTCACTGGGCCCATCATCGTCAGCGTTGCGTAAGAAGCGAACATCATCCCAGTGAGTCCTCAAAAACAACAGAAGGGGAAGCGACTCTTCCAAACAAATGGCCGCAATGTTCCAACGTTCAGTGTAGATAGAAGTCAACCTGCGCAAAAACAGCTCTTTGGCACGCTCATAATGCAAAGTACCCCGCATGACAACCTCCACAAACCTATTGCAACAAGGAGGGCTGCCAAGAAACTGGTATAAGGACTTGAGTTTGCCCAAAAAAATCTTCAAACCCATGGAAGGCAGAATTCAATCTTCCAGTTGCATTGTGTATGGCATGACATATCCCTGGCACAGAGATTGCCTGCGGCATGAGGGGT